GGGGAATGCAGGGCCAGGTGGGGGTGGCAGAGGGTGAAGAGGGATTGCAGGGCTCTTTGGGGGACATTGGGGGCGAAGAGGGGGTCGCAGGAGGTTTAGGAAGGGTGGGGAGTTGGCGGAATAGCAGGGGATGAAGTTGGGGTGTCAAGAGCTGAAGGGATGTCGAGAGGTGGGGGGAGGTATGGCATAGGGTGGCAAAGAGGTTTGAGGGAATGACAGGGGGCCTCAAGGAATGGTGGAAGGTAAAAGAGGGGCGGCAGGAGGTTTAGGGGTTTAACGAGGGGCCTGTGGGGTTTTGGGGGTATGGCGGGGGTTGAGGGGTGTCCGCCGGCAGCGGCGGAGTTAAGGTGCCCGGGGTAGGTGCACGCATTCCTCCCCGGCGAGGGCAGCAGCAGCCCCCGGGTCGGGTTTCGCCGCCCGCCCCCGGCCCGGCCCCGGCCCCCCCGCAGCCCCCGGCCCGCGGGTGGGAGCGCGCACAGGCGGGAGCGCGCACGGGGCCCGCGAACACGGGCSGGGGGAGAACAGCGCACCTTGCCCCGCTTCCTGCGGCCTCGGCAGCTCCTCTTGCCCACCCCGCAGCCCCCGGGCTGGGGGCACAGCAGCCCCCACCATGGATGGGGGGATACCCCTCTCCCCACGATGCTCAGGCCCCCCAAAACGCTCAGCCCAGGACCCCCACCCCCATGGCACTCAGCCCCCGGGGGAAGCGCACTCCCCCAGTCCTGGGGGATCACCCCGTGTCCCCCCTCTGTGCAGCCCCCACCCCAATGCCCAGCCCCAGAGGGGAGCGCAGCCCCCACGATGCTCAGCCCTCGGGGGCCCCCCCAGGCTCCCTCAAGATGCCCAGCCCAGCCCCCCGTGATGCTCAGTCCACCCCAAGACCCCCCAGGGCAGCAGCAGCAAAACCGCGGGACCGAAACCCAGCGCCCGGTGCTCCCCCCACGGGGTACCGCCGCCCCCCAAAACGCCCAGGCAGCAGCAGCGCCCCCAAAATCCGCTTCGAGGGGGGGAGCGCAGCCCCCCACAATGTTCAAACCCCGGGGGGCATCCCCGTCCCCCAAGACCCCCAGCAGCAGCATCCCCTCCTCCGGGGGACACCCCCGGGGCTCCCCCGACACCCAGCCCCAAGCGGGGGGTCCCGCGGCCCCGGCCGCACCTTCGAAGTCGGAGAGGATCCCGTCCAGGTGGTCCTTGACGGAGAGGCGGGCCATGGCGGGGCGGGGGGCGCCGGGGCTGCCGCCGCCCGGGACCCCCGCACGGGGAGGGGGCAGCACCGGGGGAGCGCAGCGGAGCCCACCGAGCCCCGGGACGGGACGGGCCGGCGCCGGCTGCCCTCGGCGGGAGGGGAAGGAGGAGGGGACCGGCCGGGGGAGGGGAGGGGAAGGGGAGGGGAGGGGGAGGTCCCGCCTGGGCCCCCGCCCCGGCCCGAGAGCCCCCCGCCTCCCCCGGGCCGGCCCCCGCAGTTCCGCCCCTATCCCGGGGCGCTGGGATGCTGTAGCCCCCGGCCGGGGGTCCCGGGCAGGCTGGGGGTCCCAGAGAGGGTGCGGGGGGAGCTCCTGGCAGGTCTGGGGGGCCCCGGAGGGCTGCGGGATAGGGGGCAGGCTGGAGCTTTAGGAGAAGCTGGGGGAAGCCTGGCCGGGCTGGGGGTTCCAGACAATCTGGGGGGGTCCCAGGCAGGCTGGGGTTGCCCTGGCCAGGCTC